GAATTATCCACATCAATAATAATAATAATAATAATAATAATAATAATAATAATAATAATAATAATAATAATTATTATTATTATTATTATTATTATTATTATTATTGTTATTATTATTATAATTTTCTTTGAATATGTGTCATACTCATAATAAAACAATTATATTTATTTGCTTTCAAAAATTATATTTATTTATTTTTTAATTATGACATTAAAATAATTATACTTGAAAAATTTTTTGTTGAATTATGACATTTGCTTTCATATACGTATCCAAATCAGCAAAAATTTTATGAATTGACGTTGAAATCAATATAATCGAATATTTAACTATTTATAGGAAAAAGTAAGTTTTAAAAAAATTGTTGATAACATTTTTTTAAAAAGAAAATTCGAATATTTATTTGAAGATTTTAAAATTCAATCGTTCAGTTATATTTATGCTTTTTTTTTTAAGAAAGAAATTAAGGTTGGTCAATAAATGTTATATTATAATAATAATAATGCTATTATTATTATTAGTAATATATTAAACCAAGTAGTTAGCAGTTAATTTGTTAAAAAATAAAAGGAGGTATGTGAACGTGGATGCATGCATAGCACTACACTACGTGAAATGGAGTACATGGAATCATGGCCTCTAATTACTTCCTAAACTTTAGCATTGTTGCTTTTCTCTTTCACTATAAATATGTGGCTTTTGTTTATTTATAATCATCAAGTGAAGTAATAAACATTTACTTCTATTCCTCTCTCTCTTCTCAATATATAAATATAATATATAGATATATTATATTTAATATATATTATAGATATATTATATTATATTTAATATATATTATATTAAATATATTATATTTAATATATCTAACATTTGGTATCAGAGTCAGTCAACCTTTCAACCCCGAGATATTTTTCGTAGTGAAATATGGCTGTAAATTTCAATATTGTATGGACGGGTCCCAAATTGAACGGGAAACTCGATTACAATTATTGGCAAATTATGATGTCCACACATTTGCAAGCTCAAAATCTTTGGAGCTTTGTTGATCCCGGTCTACCCGAAGGAGCTGAAGCAGGAGCGATACGGCGAGATAAATTGGCCTTGGGTCAGATTCACCAAGGTGTTCATTATTTCATTTTTGGGCAATTAGCTCGTGCTCAAACAGCAAAACAAGTTTGGGACATCTTAAAGGTGTCACACAAAGGAGTCGATCAGGCACAGAAGTCTAAGTTGCAGTCGTTGAGAAGGTTGTACGATAATTGTGAGATGACCTCTACAGAAACAGTAGATATGTATTTCACTCGTCTTATTGATATGGTGAATAAGATGAGGCTATATGGAGATACGATTGAAGATGGTGCAGTGGTTGAAAAAGTTCTTCGAACTATGCCGATGATGACCATGTGGTGGCTTCGATCACAGAGTCACACAAAACCGAGCTCTTATCAATTGCAGAGCTGAAAGGTATGGTAGAAAGTCATATTGACGGGATTGCGTCAAAATCAGAACCACTAGTAGAAGAAGCTTTGAAGAGTCAAGTCACCCTTAATGTGACTGGCACTAATCAAAGAGGTGGAGGATCTGGTAGAGGTCGTGGAAGAGGAAGAGGAGGTTCTAGTGGAAGAGGTCGTGCTAACTTCAACCAAGGAGGAGGACGTGGTAACTCCAACCAAGGAAGAGGTGGAGGTAATTCCAAACAAGGTAAATTTCCATTTCATTGCTACAATTGTGGCAAGTATGGGCACAAGATTGCGGATTGTTGGTATAATGAGGACAACAATCGTGGAAATCAAGCAAACATTGCTGAAAATACTGCTCAAAAGTCTGGTGAGAATTCTGAAACCTTACTTTTGGCCAGTGATAGTTTTTCTGCTGATAAGAACATATGGTTCTTGGATACTGGGTGTAGTAACCATATGTGTGGGAAGAAAGAATTGTTTTCCGAACTAGATGAATCAGTCTGGTCTGAAGTAACGTTTGGCAATAAGTCAAAGGTGCCAATTTTGGGAAAAGGTAAAATCTCTATTCAGTTGAAGGATGGTACTCACAATTTTATATCCGATGTGTTCTATGTTCCTGAACTACACCAAAATTTGTTGAGTTTGGGTCAGTTGTCAGAAAAAGGATATAAGATACATATTGCTCAAGGGTTTTGTACCATTGAAGATGCTAAAGGAGTTTTGATTGCAAAGGTAAATATGTCCCAAAATCGACTATTTCCTTTGAAAATTAAGCATACTCTCCTTGATTGCTTTAATTCTGAAGTTTGTGATGATAATTGGTTATGACATATGCGGTTTGGGCATTTTCATTTCTCTGGATTAAACTATCTTGCGAGAAAGGAACTTGTTTCTGATTTACCTGTTGTGAATGTCCCTGATCATATCTGTGAGATTTGTGTGATTGGGAAGAAGCATAGAGATCCCTTTCCCGTGGGCAAGTCAAGGAGAGCTACAAAACAGTTGGAGATTATTCACTTAGACCTATGTTCGTTGGAGGTTCCCTCACATGGAGGTTGTAAGTACTTTATTACTTTCATTGATGATTTCAGTAGGAAAACATGGGTTTACTTTCTGCAGCAAAAGTCTAAAGCATGTGATGTTTTCAAACAATTTAAGACTTTTGTTGAAAAGCAAAGTGGTTATGAAGTAAAAATCTTGAGAACTGATAGAGGTACAGAATATATTGCTTGTGATAATTTTATGAAAGAAAAGGGTATTCAGCACCAAATGACAGCTAGATACACTCCACAACAAAACGGAGTGGCTGAGAGGAAGAATAGGTCTATCATGGATATGGTAAGGTGCATGTTGAAATCCAAGGATCTGCCTAAACCTTTTTGGGCAGAAGCTGTTGCTTGTGCTGTCTATGTGTTGAATAGGTGTCCAACTAAGAGTGTCCATGATAAGACGCCCGAAGAAGCTTGGAGTGGGAGAAAACCCTCTATCAAATATCTCAAGATTTTTGGATGTTTGGCATATGCACATGTGCCAGATCCATTGAGAAAGAAGTTGGATGATAAAGGTGAGAAATGCATATTCATTGGTTATAGTGACGCTTCAAAGGCTTATAAACTATATAATCCTGAAACTAAAAAGGTTGTTATAAGTCGTGATGTCACTTTTGATGAATATGGTGCCTGGGATTGGTTAGCTAAAGATGAAAGTTCAATTGTTACTCCTGCTGTTGAAAATATTATTGAAGAGCAACCGATTCCAGATAATGTCCAGTCTCCTTCACAGCCAGAATCGTCAGTTCGACGATCTCAGCGCGAGCGCCACTTACCAGCTCGCTTGCAAGATTATGTTTTGGGTCAAGATAATGACCTGTCTGATGAAGAGATTATTCAATTTGCTCTCTTTGCAGATTGTGATCCTTTAACTTTTGAGGAGACTGCTACAGAAACTCATTGGCTTAAGGCGATGGATGAGGAGATACGTGCCATTGAAAAGAATGGTACCTGGGAGTTAACAGATTTACCTCCTGGGAAGAAGCCAATTGGAGTAAAGTGGGTTTAGAGAACGAAATACAAGTCAGTATATCCAACTTGAAGACGAAGACATTTCTTAAATTGAAGAAGGAAATTGGGATGACCAATATATCCAACTTGGTTTAAAGGAGGCAATGTTATATTATAATAATAATAATGCTATTATTGTTATTAGTAATATATTAAACCAAGTAGTTAGCAGTTAATTTGTTAAAGGGAAAATGGCACTTTTTCCCCCTGAGTTATATACTTATAGCACTTTTCTCCCCTGAATTATTTAAGTGGCTCTTTTCCCCCCTAAAATGTTAAATGGACATATTTACCCTTAAAATAAATATTTCATTTATTTTTCTTCTCCAACAAATTATTACTATAATTTGGTTCAAACCAAACAGATACTATAGCAACCAAACCAAAATATTAAAATTACAATTTAGAATCAAAACGCGATATTTAGAGTTTATTAAAATCGCAAACCGGAATGGTCGGTTCATGTTCCGAACTGAAAAAATAAAATACATTTATTGTTGAATTTAGACTATTTTAAAATAAAAATAAAATAAAATTTTAAAATAAAGACGGTTCAAAATCGCGAACCGGATCCAGAACCGCCGGTTCACGGTTCATGATCCAGTTTTTTTGGTTCATAAATTTAATAAATTGAAATTCAAATATTGGGTTCTAGATCTGAATCATAACCGAAAAGTTTTTATTCGATTGCTATAGTGTTCGGTTTAGTTCGAACCGAATCGTGGTCATTGCTACATATACACAATAATTTGTTGGAGAAGTAAAATAAATAAAATGTTTACTTTAAGGGTAGAAATGTCAATTTAATATATCAGGGGGGAAAAACACCACTTTTAAAATAATTGAGGGGGCTAATGTGCTTACATAAATAATTGAGGGGGAAAAAATGCTATAAGTATATAACTTAGGGGGAAAAAGTGTCATTTTCCCTTTGTTAAAAAATAAAAGGAGGTGTGTGAACGTGGATGCATGTATAGCACTACGTGAAATGGAGTACATGGAATCATGGCCTCTAATTACTTCCTAAACTTTAGCATTGTTGCTTTTCTCTTTCACTATAAATATGTGGCTTTTGTTTATTCATAATCATCAAGTAAAGTAATAAACATTTACTTCTATTCCTCTCTCTCTCTTCTCAATATATAAATATAATATATAGATATATTATATTTAATATATATTATAGATATATTATATTATATTTAATATATATTATATTAAATATATTATATTTAATATATCTAACAATAAATAATAATGAATTTTATTAATTAAAAAAAAAAATTCTTGTTGAAAATCCCGCCCTCTCTCTCTCTCTGTTGTCACCAAATTAAAGGAAAGAGATTCGTGTCAAGCAATGCAGAGGTCTCAGCCATGCAACCTCCTCAACCATCCAACACGTGACGCTTTCTTCTTCCCTCACGTGCCACCGTCACCTCCGCTGCTTCATTAAAATCATTCCCGGCCGCCCCATTTCTTCCTCGATCTCTATCTTCTCTCTTAAGCCACCACTGCCTTTCATTCCCTACTGAAATTCTCTTCGATCTTTCCAAAAATGCCTATGCAGCATTATTATCAGCCGCGCCACGAGCAGCAGCTCTCCTACCAGGTCGCCAAGACGGCCACCGCCGTCACCATGGGCGGCTCCCTCATGCTGCTCTCCGGCCTCACTCTCACCGCCACCATTATCGGCCTCGTGGTTGCCACGCCCTTGCTTGTTATCTTCAGCCCCGTGCTCGTCCCCGCAGCGCTCACCACCTTCTTCATCCTTGCCGGGTTCTTGGCTTCCGGCAGCTTCGGCGCCACCGCCACCTTCGTCTTCTACTGGATGTACAGGTACGCCGACCATATCACTTCCACCGGAAATTATGAAATTTTCGATCACCTGAAAATAATATTAAATCAAGTCGAAAGTCTTGTTCCGACCCCTCTTGGGAGGGAAAAATTTTTATTGCTATTTTTGATCACTTTTTGTAGGTGGTCGGAAATTTCATAATTTCCAGTGATGAATGATGAATGTTTATTTTCGATTGAGGCCGGTAAGGGCCAAGTCCAAACAGTTCTTTTTGTATTGAGAGAAGGTTAATATAGGTTAATTGCAGGTACGCAACAGGGAAGCATCCAATCGGGGCGGACAAGATCGATTATGCAAGGGAGAAGCTGAGTAATGCAGCGCAGGATATGAAGGAGAAGGCGGAGCAGCTGGCGGCGCAGCCGGGGAATAAGGGTACCACTCTGCAGGACAGCACTTGAAGGAGGCCTGGTTGGGGATTAGCATATATGCAGCTATATATATTGTACTGTTCGAGTTTTTGTGTGTGTGTGTTCCATCTTTTTTGTTCTTGGCTGAATTTAATTTTAATCTGAACTGCGTGTAGATTTTGGTAGTAGAGAAGATCATCTTCTATGAATCTGTTAGTTGGCCGGTTGTTGTGCTTTTAATAAGTATTGTTGAATTGTAGTTGTGGATCGGAGTTGATGACTGCCAATGCGGAAATGAATTACCCATTTGGGTTTGGAATTGAAGATGATCGAGTAATAAAAACTACAATATTGAGCCATAACTCTGTAGTGTTTTCTTCTTTCAGCAGTCTTGTAACCCAGTCATCAGTGTTCTGATCTCATACCAAACTGATACTTATGCTTGATTTACTGTAGCCTAATATAATGTAGTTGATGTGGTTCTAAATTATTATTATTTAAAAAAAAAAAAAAGAAAAAACTCGCCTCCTGGAAGAATGTATCTTCGTTTCGTGTCTGGTCATGGAGATAAAGGTTGTCTCCGTCTGCAAACCTTTTTTCATCTCTAGCCAGAGATGAAGAAGGTATTTTCGTCTCCGTGGCTGCGCCAGAGATGAAGAAGGTATTTTCGTCTCCGTGGCTGCGCCGGAGACGAAGAGGGATCTTCATCTTCAACCAGAGACGAAATCCGTCATTGAGACTGAAGTTTTTTTTTTTTTTTAATATTTAATTTTACTTTATTTTAATTAATTTTAAAAATATATATAAAAAAAATATTTTAAAAAATATTTTAAATTGGGTGACTTGTTAAAAAGGGATAAACTTTACAAATTGAACAAATTGTTTGAAACAGGTTAGTTTAGACTTTAGAGTTCAATTGTAGTTTTTTTGAGTTCAGTGATTTAATTGCATTATCGTGCGGTTTGATAATTTATTTGATTCTTATTTCTGTAACTTATTTACAAAAAGGAAAATACTTAGTGTACTCTTATTTTATACACTCAATTTATACTCCCTTTTACATGTTTTTGATGTAGACACATTTCTGTGGACTCACATAATGATAATTAACCAATCCTTGTTTGCCACCTTAAAAGAGTACAAGCAAGAGAGTAAAATTTGGGAGTTTGCATAGTAGAACTCTTACAAAAATATGACAGCCTAACTTATTAAATTTGGGAGTTTGCATAGTAGAACTCTTACAAAAATATGACAGCCTAACTTATTTACAAAACTACGATACTGCATTCAATTTCTTAAGGTAAAAGTTTCAAATTAGTTATTGAACTGCACACAAAAAGTTAGTGAAAAATGCAAAAGGTCATTTAAATTTGTCACTAAATTGCATACAAAAAAGTCAATTTAGTTTTAAAAAATACTATTAACGTGACAATCATACAATTGAGTAAAACATAACTAGTCAATTTAATTTAAAAATACTATTAATTTGACAATCATACAATTAGTAAAACATAACTTGTTCTCTAGATTAACTGCTTGACATGACAGTTAACATTTAATAAATTATTTTTTATTTATTTTAAATATTAAAAGTTTAAAAAAAAAATTAAAAATCTCAACCCCACTCCTCCCTCCGGCGAGGCAAAGCAAGCAATCAGGAGTTGTTGGTAGACTGGTTACCCATGGTGGCATTTTAGAGGTAATTAAGATTCTATTTGAAAATTCAGAAAATAATTTCTGTAAATCATTTTTCAGGTTTCTGGTGTTTGGCTAAGCTGAAAAATAAGAGGTCAAAGGAAATGAGGTCTGGTCAATGAAAAATGATCTCATTTTTTTTGAAAAATAGTCCCTTTTTTGGGGAAGTCATTTTCTTCACTAGACATTGTTTCACCTTCGTTGCTTCACCTTCGCTGCTTCAGCTCCGCCTCCTCTTTCACCAATGGTGTTCGTCACTGGTTCCGATGCGAAAATCAGAGATATGATTTCCGCAGTCGAAAACCAAAGCCACTGATTTCCGGTTGGTTTTGCTTCCCTTTGTTTATACTTGTTGTGTAATTTTTATTGGTAAATGTTTAAAGTTTACCATTTTATTCATTTTTCAATTTATTTTCTAGAAAATGAACCAAACACAAAAAGATAGTTTTCTATTGTGCAGCCAAACACAAAAAAGAAAAATATATATATTTTCTAAAAAATGAGTCATTTTTCAGAATACATTTTTCAGAAGTCATTTTCTTGCTTTCCAAACGGATCTTAAAAGAATTCACTTATACTATAGGATGATTCCAAATTTATGAAGATCCTACATGCACTCAAATTTCTTTGGTTTCTTTTCAGGCAAGTTTGTGAATGGTGACTTCACCAAGGTCCTGCTTTTGCAAGAACTGCATACTTGGGAGACGAACTGCACTTCGAACCCGGACTACGACGTCTGCTTTGTCTGCGTCGAAAGTCAAAACTATTTTGTCCATTGTCGCGTAGATCACTAAGCCCTCGTTCTCCTCCATCGTGAAGCCCTTCATCAACTCCATTTTCCACAAGTAGGACCACTAATCCCAAGAGGCTAAGAAAGCTGTTGAAGTAATAGAGGGAGCCATCGAGTCGGTCCCTGACCATATATACTGTAGACCTTGTTGGTGACTCGCCGTCCATTGTCAACTTTCTCATCACCCTTACTCGAGATCAAGGCAGTAAGTACTACCCCCGAGATCCCTCTTGCATATCAGACATTGGTGTCCACTAGGTTGAAGAGATGGTGTAGAATCTGGCAATGGTGTAGAATATGGCGAGACTACTTCGCTTTGCCTCGCTAGAGGGAGAGTTGGGGTTGGGGTTTTTAATTTTTATTATTATTTTTTCAAATTTGTAATATTTAAAATAAATAAATAATTAATTAATTTATTAATTTATTAAAGGTTAACCGCCACATCAGTGGTTAACCTAAAGAACAAGAACTTTTAACTCAATTGTGTGATTTAAGCTAGTTCAGGGACTCAATTGCATTTCTTTTGTGTTGGATAGCCTAATTGTATTTTCGTGTGTAAATTAGTGGGCAATTTGATGATCAATATCAATGTTTGTTTCTTTAATAGGGAAGGTTTTGGGTTTATTCCTGGTAGTATTGAGAATATTATTTTCATAGGAACTTAAAACATTTTTTAGGTGGGACAACTGACCTGGAAATTTAAGGTTGTTTCATATCTAAAGATTTTGTGGTCGAATAGCATATCTGTGACTTTTCAAATGAGAGGTCTCAGGTTCGAACCTCGGTGTGGGATATTTATTTTTTGTATTTTAATAGGTTGAGAAAGTATGTATAAATAGATGCAAGTTTGGTTTTGAATATTCCAGTTAGTTGTCGCAGGCCTTGTGATCAATGGACTCGGCACTGGGATCAGAAAGGGGCGTATTCTGTCAAGTCATGCTACAGACAAATTACCATGGTTGCTTCTGATGATCGACCTTGGTCAAGTATATGGAGTCTTCATGTTCCCCCCAAGGTAAAATGTTTTTGTTGGCAGTTGGTTTCTGCGTACCTCCCCATGCGAGATGCTTTGGTCTCTAGAAGGGTGGCCTGTTTACTTGATTGTCATATGTGCAGATTGGCAGCCGAATCTGCAATCCATCTTTTTGTCAATTGCACCGAAGCCAGACGGGTTTGGAATCTTATAGGTGTGCCACATCTGAACGCTTATGCAGGTGGTAGTGTCTCAGACTGGTTTTTTTGGTGTGTTAGTAAGTTGAGTGTTGACTCTTTGCCAAGATTTGTAATGGTTTGCTGGGGATTGTGGACAAGCAGGACGATAGTGTCTGGAAAGGTGTTGCGCATAGTTCGGCCATGGTGGTGCAGCGTGCCCTTGATTTTCTGGAAGGGTGGCGTGGGGCGAATCAGGTTCAAGAAAAGCCTGGGGTGGTAGACGATGTGAAGTGGAAGAAGCCGCAGGTTGGCAGGTATAAAATCAATACTAATGTTTCTGTGCGGCAGGGTGAGGGGCGGATGGGCTTGGGGTGGGTGCTGCGTGATGATTGTGGAGGGTTCTTGGCGGCAAAGAATGTGCTTTTAACAGGAACCTATTTGGTTAAGGAAGCCGAGGCCTTGTGCGTTAGGGAGGCTCTTAGTTGGCTAAAGAATACGGGACTGGGATGCGTGGATATGGAAATGGACTCGCAAATTGTGTATAATGCTATTCGTTCCGTGTCTTTTAATTCGACTTTTGGTTATTTAGTGGATGATGTAAAGGATTTAGCATCTGAAATTGAGCGTGTTGAATTCTATTTTGTTAAGCGATCTGCGAATCGTACCGCTCACTATGTTGCTAGGGAGGCATTTTCTTTGTCAAGTTGCGGGGAGTGGCTGGACTCCCCCCATCTTTTCTTGTAAACGTTCTCCAATCTGATCTAATGAATTAAGTTTACCTTCTCAAAAAAAAGAAACACTTGTGTCAATCGACACCATATTGATGTTACTTTTAATTTTTTACCATTGTAACATTAGTATATTTAATTCTACTATATTTGATTTATGGGTTTAATTATCATGAGAATCAAATTGTTATTATTTAGTTGATAGATTTTTAAAATACTACTATAATATTTGATTACTCTCTTAATTTAAAAAAAAAAAAAAAAAAACACATTCTCTAATAAAATAAAAGTTTCATTTCATTATTTCCCTTTTTAAAAGTTTGAATTAATGTTTTTAAATTTTTGTTTATATTTTTTTTTGTTCATATTAATGCTTTGGATGTCTTTATATTAAAATAAATTGTCGTGCTTTTTTTTTCTATTTTTAAACATTTATTCCCATTATAAGATCATACATAACCAAACAATAATATTGATAATCATTCCAATTTCACTTTACAACAAAACATGCAAAATACTTTCAACAAAACCCATTACCATTGACAAGTATTTGATTCTCATTCCAATTCCGATTCCCATGTGCAAACCAAAAACGCCTAAGTTCTACTTAAGTCTTTAAATTAAAACCCAAACCCTTAAAATAATAATAATAAACAAACAAACAAACAAAAACTTTGCCTCATACATTTCTATTTTTCATTTTCTTATTATAGTTGGTCATCCATTTAGATTTCTATCATTTTTATGATAAACAAAGATCTAACATATAATTTCATCATTCAAGTCTCTTTAAATCAAGAGAAATATATTATTTTTAAAATTAGATGAAATTTTCGTAGTATACAAATGTTTGCTTTTAAATTATTATGTTTCAAAAGTTTGGACATAATTGTCAAAAATAGTCATATTTAATGTCTAAAATTAATTTTAAGAGGAAAATGCAAACCCATCTTACTTGTGTTAACATATATAATACACATACTGTGGGATATAACTATATAAGCAACAATATGAATATATGATGATTTAAATAACTGATTCCATGATGATTGATATAGATTTTGAATGGCTGGCTTTTCTTCATGGAAGTAAATTGTGAACTTGCAAACACTGAAGAAAAATTCCCATTGTGAACCAAGAAGTATCAGAAAGCAGAAAAGGTAACATTTGTGTCAGTAATGAGAAAAACTCCCATCACCATAACCAGAGAAAAGTAGTATACTAACACTGCCATTCAAAAGGCATCTGCTCCGCCTTTCTTTGATAATGCCATCACGTTGAAGTTAATCGAATTCGGGTTTTTCTCTATCATCTTTTGAATCACTTTGGCTGCATCCTGCGATTAAATCAACAACCTTTTATCGTTAAGTGCTGAACCCATCATCTAAGCAGATAACAGAATTTATATGCAGAAATGCCCAAACTCGAGATTATCATCCTTTTACCTGCAGTAAGGTGGCTTGAGAGGATGCACCGTGTGAAATTGGTCCTGCTCTCCTTCCATCAAGTTCGTAAAGTTTTCCTGCAACGTAATGTGAAAGTAAATCATTAGTTCGTTAAAGGGTAAATATATGCAAAAAGGGATGGTTGCTAACCCAAGTCAAGTCAATCTTTTAGCTCATATCAAAATTTCATAAACAATATACTATCATGCATACGAGGAAGGGGATAACGCCCAAACTAGAAGAGACAAGCTTCGAGCATATTCAGACTTTCAGAGGCAGTATAATAAAGTGTAATTTAATCTTTTGATGAAGAGTGGGCAAAGGCAATATTTTAATTTCATGAAAACATTAAAGAATTGCCCGGTCATCTGATAGTTGAGCAAACAGCCAGTAGTGTGAAAGATTCAGCTCTTTCCAGTTAACATAAAACAACCCATCATAAACACAAAACTAATTAGGAAAAAAATTCTGCTATATATAGACAAATAAGAGAGATAAAGTACCATCAGCAATTGCAAAGCAGATGAAGTGTGTATCCACATTATCTGACGCCTGTAGAGTAAACTTGTTAGCTTAAAAAGCACATTTAAGAGCTACAAAGAAGTATTATTTAAGTTGCACCAGAGTATCAATGTCCCATGCTTTATCCAAGCAACTTTTTGAACATGAAATTGGTAAACTTTTATGCTCAAACCCCTGACTTCTAAGGTGCTGCATTGCATTTCATTTGAATACATGCATTTGCAAAAGTCAAACAGGCTTGCTCTACCAACTGTGGTTCACCAGCATAGTACTTCCTATTAATTGTGGGTCCATAATAACTTGTGAATATAATTCATTGCAAAAATGTATAATAGTCTATTCAGGATAACATTTTTATTCATATCTAATAGGGTTGTCAATAAAACTATATTTACCACAAAATTAAGCTCTTTGTTTTCATGCTTTTATTAACTGCATGTATAATCTTAAAGAGGTATTCCTATGGGATGAAGCCTGACAGAAACCGTTAACCAATGCACAATAGCTTTCTACAGAATTGTTCAAACAAGGTGTGTTTAAACATATGACCCTAATCTGGTTAATGGTTATCTCCCAACTTTCAATCAGTCTAATAATAATTTAGAGTATTGTTCATAAATACAGTACTCCAATTTATCTGAGAGTTATATCTAAGGCAATACAAATGGGACAATTAGGGTGCCCTTGGGAAAGGGTTTGGAGTGATCTACAACTCCAACCGCTCTCCAGAATGTTGTTTAAATAAACTGCAATTGGAGAGGTTTGAGCAGTTCGTAGAAATTTCAATTGGAGGGGTAAGGTACTAGGGTGCGTTTGAGAGTGGTGAGGGTGGTAAGAGTGGAGCGTTAGAGACGTGGTGGTGAGAATGCAACGGTTGAACCTCTCCAATGGCACTGCTCTCACTTGACCCTTACTCTTCCACTTGAAATTTCTGCTATTAGAGCAATGAGTCGCTTCATCGATCTCCCAAATGCACTTCTAATCAACTGACTAAATAAAAACATAATGTCCAAATACCTATTGCCTCAAGTGGTAAAGGCAAGGTCTTCTAACCCGCATCCCCGCCCCACCCTCACCACCCCTACCCACTTAATAAAAAGGGAAATTTGATACAGAATTAGCATATTCCAGTACTGACCTCAGTATCACCAGCAGTAGCTGCTACAGAATGAGCAACTTCCATTTCCCTATCATCTTCAAGGAATTTGGCCCGCTACAAAATTATGACAGTATGAATTAGAATTAAATTGATACAACCATATCATGCTCAAACCATTGCAATGAACAAACAGACAAATAGATACCTCCATTGGATTCATGTTTGCAGTGGATTTATAGAACGTGTCTAGGAATGATCCTTCAACTGGAAATGGTATTAACATAAAAATCAATGTCACAAAGAAATGGAACAAAAAAGAAAAAGAAAAAACCAATAAATATATTTCATTTCCCATGATCAATTCAAATTCCTGCAGGCAGTAACCTATATTTTGACTTCAAATGATAGTGTAAAATTCCCTCTAAGCAGGAAAGTAGGGAACTAATGGTGTGAGCTTTGGGAATTAATCCAAGAAAGTTGCAAAGACAATGGGATTCTAACTAAACATGTAGCAGCAGACTTGCCACTTGCCTAGATTTCATAGAGATCCCTACCAAACAGGCAGCAGAGCTCAAATGCTCATTTGAAATGCTAAAACTAAAAAGAAAAACGTAGTAAGACTTTTTTGTTGTAGAATGTCAGAGCTCATAAAGATCCATGTCTTGCTTGTTTAATGTAATTCACCGTCTAAATAATTTAAGATCAATTTAGAGTTGATGTACATAGTAATTAGTCCTATGGTCTTGTCCATACCCTTTAACCAGTTGGTGCCTAAGTGCATCTAGTTTTGACAGTACCTCTAACTAAGCAAAAGAGTCACGTTGTTGCATTAGAAAGATTACCAATTGATATGATCAATACAATAATACGTACTGACACCATGAAGTAAATGATGTCATAATGACTTACCAAGCTTTATCTCTGAAGTGATATTACCAACAGCATGAAGAAGTGCAATCGTCCCACATGCATTTCCCACTGTTTGTTTCATGAAGTAAACTCCACTACTAGGCTCCTGCAATGCAAGCACAGTCATGAATACAATTCCTATTAGACTCCTGCAAGCTAAGCAGATATAAACAAAGGCATCATGCACTAAAAGGCTAATAGCATTTACGAATAAGAAGGATAAAATGTAAACTCTGCACGTCATCTAAGTCAAAATGTGAATTACAATCATATTCACCTTTGTCTTGCTGTCTTCCTTTATTCTCTCATCTTCACTCTGAAAACACACACAACAAAAGATCTCAAATTAACAACAAACATTAGATTTAAAAGATACTCCTAATAGGGATAGTCCAAAAATATGAACCTGTGAAGTGATAGGATACAGAAAGAGAACAGCATAGACCGGCTTAGGGACCATAGCCAGAAGCTCATCATCCAAGCCATAAACATCATAGCACTCTGCCTCATCTTCTTTAACACCAAGACCCCAGAGAAACTGCTCAATCACACAAATATACCAAATTTCAGTATCTCACACGTTTTAGCAATTCTTTACGAGGTTAAACCAAAATCGTCGAACTGAAAAACAGTAATCAGTCAACAGATAAAGTTCTTAATTCTTTAATTCTTTAGTTAACAGATTCACAATAAATCAAAGAAAAAAAAAAAAGCATAAATAAAACTATACAAGTTAATTCAAAAATTCCAATATTGAACAAAAGGAATAAAACCCATTCAAGAGAAACGAAATATACTCTTCCGATAAACCCAATAGCTTAAGAAATTAAGCAAAAGAAGGATTTTTATTTTGTTTTCTGAGAAATGAAAGTTGAGGAGGGGTAACCTGGTTCATGACATCAGGGTTAGCTTCAAGGGGAAGCCATCTCTTAGCTGATATACTATCCGCCATTGTTTTCTCTGTCGTTCCCTGGGAGAATCAGAAAGGTTGCGTACTGCACTAGGAAAAGAACTCCACATTCACATTGGCTTTACAGTTAACCCTCATAGGCTCATATATAGGTTCACCCTGGGGTTTACTCGGTACTAGATTTCAGGCAACTTTTTAAATTTTAGATCAACAGGGTATTCTGCCGTGTTTAATCACAAAGCGTTACCTCAAATTTCTTATTATAAAAAAACATACAGTATTATTTTTTTAAAAAAAATACAATTTTATGTGCCTTAAAGAGTAGTACCTTATTCTCTACAAGTTATATGCTCTCTATAATAAAGCACAAAGTATAAATTTACAAACTACACGATATTGTAACTACGGCAATGTTTATTTTTAGTATTGTTTGAGTATATACTTAAAGTAATTTTTTCCTTTTGAGTGTTTATTTGTGTAAATATAGTCTTTACTCTTTAGTTATATTACAAAAATGTAGTCGTTGAGTTTCAATATTTGTACTCTAACATTTCTCGTTTGTTTTTTATGGTTTTATTGGACCAACCACATCGTATAAATGGGTAGTCAGGGGGTATTTTTTGCAATGAACACACGGATTAATATATTGGATGTTGGGCCACTGGTGCCTTTTCAATCTGTAGAAAAAAATATTAAATTGTTGGGCTAAAAGAACGAGACCGAGATACAAATCTAGGCCCACTAAAAGGGTTATTATATGACTTGAATAATAAGACTGGTTTGTCGTGAAAAGTTCTGGTCTAAAATAAAAAGGAATTCAACTCTAATTGATGATGTCAAAAGCAAAAGTAAGCCCCTTATTTATAGTGTCCCAGCATCCAACCATGGCCAAAAGTAAACTAGCTAACCTCATCCCTCCAACCCTCCCGTCCACACAAATGTTGAACCCACAGCCTCCCATGAGCCCCATCATCCCACCTTGCCTAATTATGCACCCCTCACCCTTGAATCATGTACTACTACCACCTGCCACTTTCCTCAACCATGCTTGGGTAGGTCGTGGTCGTAGGGTGCACGACAAACTGGGGTTGGCTTGGTGCCTCAACCCCTCCCATCTTGCACTATAGTCCCATATCTTTGGTTCATTGCAATTTGATCCCCAAGCCTCTTACCCAACTCAATTAGAGGTCTTGGCATTGGTCATGCTCTTACACCTCCTCAATTAGATAGCCAGGTTAGTAGTCTCCATCCCAGCTAGAAGCATTAACGGTGGCACGGCCAGTACGAGTCATTTGATATGTTCGTATTACGCAACCCCCGCAAGTCATCCAGGCCCTTGGTGTTATGCCCCTATTGCCCTGACCATATAGAGGCCATTCCACGAGGGGTACAAGAAATGGTTCCACCAATCGGTCATTTCTAGATGGATACTAGCTATATAGAAGCACTTAGTTTGCATATTATGGGTGATTCCATGCATGTACTACTCCCTCTATGCTTCCTTTTAAAAAAATTACATTTCCTGTAGGTCACTATGCAAGCCCAATTTCGGGGGTTGGTCCATAGGGAATGGGGAATGGGATTATCGGATTAATTCTTGTAAAGATAGTTCAATTGTAACAAGGTAGAAGCAAGAAACTTAAATAAATCTAAACTAAATGCAACAAATGAAGAGATATATAAAAATGCAACGAAGGTAAAGGACATGAATCAATCAAATGCATGTCTTGAGTCGGCTCAAACCCACAACCTCCCGTATGGGAGAGCAACTTGGTGCCACTAGACCACAAGGTCATTGGCGTCTTGCGCCAACTTAAGATAAAAATGTAGTTTTATTTTTTACGAAGGGAGGAATTGTACTAAAGTCCCTGGTGCCACTCTTGTGATCTATCCGAGTGTACTAACCCGCAAGATTCGATACTCTCGTAGTTTACAAGCTAAACTAGCCCATGAAGATTCTAAACAATTCATTCTACCCATGTGCAAGTTAATCCCATAAGTTGTGAGATCATATCTTTTGTATAACAAACAATGTGTGTTGGAACGACATGAATACCAATGAATGGTTAAGATCAATTCAATTTAATCCAACGGTTTAAAGTAGTTGTCTTAAAATTTCTGAAAATAAAAATATACCATATCTTTTGTTGGAATGTGTGTTGAAAAGACATGCATACCAATGAATGGTTAAGATTGTTGCCATTTAATTTAATGGTTGAAAGCATTTGCAAAGTTTCTCAAAAGATATCATATCTTTTTGTTGAAATGTGTGTTTGAAAGGCATACCAATGAATGGTTAAGATTGTTTCAATTTAATCCAATGGTTAAAAGTAATTGTCTTGAAATTTCTGAAAAGATATCACATCTTTTTGTTAGAATCTGTGTTTGGAAAGAAATACGTAGCAATTAATGGTTAAGATCATTGCGAATTACTTCAACGGTTGGAAGTAGTTGTCTTAAAGTTTCTAAAAAGATATCATATCTTTTGTTAAAATGTGTGATGGAAAGACATGCATTTAAGATCGTTGTGATTTAATTCTACAGTTGAAAGCAATTATTTTAAATTCTCAAAAGATATCATATCTTTTGTTAGAATGTAAGTTGGAACGATATACATACCAATGAATAGTTAATATCATTGCGATCTAATCTAACGGCTAAAAGCAATTAAGTTAGATTTGCTGAAATGGTTCTATATTTTATCATAAATACTAGTACATGACATACAAAGTTATCATTCTTCCCTTCAACAACGGAGGATGAGGTTGATCTCACTACTACAATGCAATCACAAGGAAAAAGCATTACTAAATATATAGCTAACAATAGCGTTGTCAAGACTTACTGCATAGAAACTATGGGTAATAAAGCAAACAAGCCCAGGCATGGAGGTTCTATTCATGAGCATATAGTGATTCATCATGATCATATAGATGGAGATCAAAGATTATGGAGTGGTTATTTTTCAGAAAATCCAAAATATAATGAAACAATATTTTATATACGATTTCAAATGAGTCCACATTTGTCCTTATGAATTTTCATCGTAATTGAAGGTCATGACAACTACTTTGTGGAATGGAGAGATAGATAGACTATGCTTGTCTACTTTACAAAAAGTAATAGCAACATTTCAAATTTTGACTTATGGTGTAGTTGTGGATGCAACAGATGAATACACACAAATTGGAACATCAATTGCAATTAAAAGTTTGAAGAGATTATGTCGAGCAATTGTAGAGATTTTTGGGGAGCGGTATCTAAGAGCACCTTACATCTAATGCTAATGATTTTGCAATGTTGCTTCAAATTGGTGGAAACGTGGTGTGACACCCCGTAAATCTAACCCTTAATTGAGATTAATTGAGGAATTAATCCTATTTCTCCTTGCATAATTTCCTTCTAAAAATCCTGAAATTTAATAGTCGAGGGACTAGAATTTGACTAGTTTCCTTAGTCAACCATGTGTATCTTTTGCCTTAAGCTTTGTACCTAAACCCTTTTGTCTTCCTAACTTTAGTAAGGGTAAAGTTGACCTTTCACACATGTTTGATGCTCAAGTTTTCCCTAGCAAGACACTTCACTCATTTCCCTTGCTAGCTAAGTCACAAACACTCCGCCTTCTCTCTAAAGAAATCTTAGCTTTCTCTCCAAGCTAGAAGAAGAATTCCCTAGCCTTTCAAAGATTCAACTATATATTCCACCTTTCTACCTCCCTAGCATAGGAAAGGGTAAGATCTTAAGTTGTTTAGTGTTTTTAGTTAGTTTTAAGGTATCTTTATCATATTTTGGTGTTTTCTTTGTGGTTTGGTTGTGTAAGAAGTCTTGGGTGAGAAAGAGCTTCAAGGAGAGGCTTAGGAGTGTAAGAAGAAAGTGGTTTTTGGTCTACAAAGGTAACTCATGCTCTACAAAATCTATTTTCTATTGCTATGAATGATTATTGGCTTCTATTTGATGATTCTTGATGTTGTGAGTGATTTGATGCATGATCTTGTGATAATGCATGTTTAGAGCTTGTATTTAGGTTTCTTGAATACCATTCTTTGAGCTATTCTTGGGTTCAAGTCATATCTTTCTTGTGTGTGAGGTTTTGGGTGTTTTGGACTTGAACTTGACCTTGGAAATGAATTTCCCCGAAGGGAAAAATGTGGTGTACAAGAGGTACCCCGCAGGCGGAATGGTGGGCAGTGGCCTACCCGCCGCCCCACTCGCGGGGAACGTGGCCTTGTGGGTTGTACCCCGCGGGCAGGTCCACGGGCAGGGCTCTACCCGTGGCCCCGCCCAGGGAATGTTGTGATGATGGCAGGGAATTGTTTCCCCGTGGTTCTTTCCTTTGGTATTTGATGTTTTGACCTCTCGTTGTTGGATTATTGAGCTTTTGTGAGTCTTCTTGATGTTTCATACGTCTAGAATGATGTGTTAGGAATCCATGTTAGGATTTGGTGTCTTGAATCGTGCTAAGGGTCCAACCTTGTGATTCGTTGGACTAATATGAGTCTTGAAGGTTCGTTGGAACCATTTCGGTTTACCCGTTTGATGTGCATGCTAGTTCGATGTTGTTATGCTAGTATGTATGGTTTGTTCCTTCTTGTTGAGGATTGGCAACTCGTGTTGCCAATCATATTGGTATTGGATTGTAGTCCATTGTTGTTGAGTATTGCTTCAGGTCTTTATTGAAATCTCTTGGTTGATTCTTATAGTGTGATCTTGTACAAATCGTTGTACCCTTTGTTAATACTTAATTGGGCTATTGATGAGCCTTAATCTTCTTGATAATGACTATGTGTGAATATGAATGAGATTGGTGGTTTTGTTACTTGAGCTTTGCTCACGAGATCAGTGGTTTGTTACTATGAATTTAATGGTACCCTCGTGTACTGAGAAATCGGTGGTATACTGATTGGTGATGTGATTGGTGGGGGACGACGGTCCCATGCGGAATAAGGTTAGAATCAGAAGTACAGGGTGGCACTAGGAGGTAACGGTTGGAACCGAAATAAGGCCGGGGGTAGCCATAAGGTTGGAACGTGAAACTTGTCATTATGTGATTATTGTATTTCTTGCTTATGAGCCTGTCTATGATGAACTCTACCTTATGAATGGTAGGTTGCATCTAGAGTTATTTAT